TTAAAGAAACGTGATCGCAGTTTTGTCCGGAACCGGCTTATGGATAGAGTATTTTCATGATTCCTAAGAGTATATATGGGTAAATTGTTGAAAGCTATTGGATTACTGCTTTTGGTGTAGCCGTGTAAAAGGCGAAAGAGGAATGTAAGGTTGAGTTTCAGGCGCCTTAACCAAAGTGGCTGAAGTCCATACATTTTGCACCTATCAGCGTAAGTCAGTCCTTCATGTTTGTATAATAGGCGTCGAGTAAAACTTCGCTGAATATTTTCAATACGAACCCTGTCATACCCATGCATGAAACCGAAGACAATTGTGCAGTATTCAAGTACTGGACGAACCATGACTTTGTATAAAAGGACTTTAGCCTCATTTGTGTACATTTTTCGATGTAACAAGCCTGTGAGTCTTCGGCATTTAGAAACAAGTGCTTTTGCGTACTGACTGAATGTTAAGTTTTGTGAGTAGGTAACTCCCAGGTCTTTTATGGAACTGAGGGTTTGGAGAAAAGAGTTACCTAGGTGTAACCTGAAATTCGGATGGGAGTTATTGAAATATAGGACACCACATTTATCAGAATTGAATGGCAGTTGCCAGTCATTGCTCCAGTTATGTAACCTATCCAGATCATCTTGAATATGTGTGAATCCTTCGTTTAGTGTAGAATGGGGGAAGCTGTATACAATCTTTAAGTCGTCAGCAAAGAGGTATGGGGTACCATGCTTGATTACGCTGCAGATGTCGTTAATGTAGATTACGAAAAGCAGTGGACCTAGTACACTACCCTGAATCACTCCACTTCTTATAGGTCTGGGTGACGAGTAATTATTTGCAAATTTCACAACTTGGGAACGATCTTCCAAGAAAGAAATGAGCCAGGATAACAAGGGGTCTTGGAACCCGTACGACTTTAGCTTAAGGATTAGTCTCTTGTGTGGGACTTTATCAAAGGCTTTTTTGAAGTCAAAGAAGAGAGTTGTGACATACAAACCATGATCACGCTTAGCGGTAACATCATCAAAGTAGTCAAGTAGGCAGGTGGAGCATGATCGATTTTTCAAGAAGCCGTGTTGTGCTGGAGTAAACACTTTGTGAAGGTGGAGGTATGAAGCAATATCTTGCCCTATAACCTTTTCCATAACCCTGGAAACTACTGACGTGATATTAATCGGTCGGTAGTTTTCGATGTTAGAAGTTGGTCCTTGTTTGTGCCTAGGGGTTATAAACGACAGTTTCCAGCATTCTGGGTAACTGCCATTATTTAAGGACAGAATGAAAAACTTTAGTAGGATAATGGGTATATCCTCACCACCTCTTTTCAACAAGATAGATGGAATTCCATCGGGCCCAGCGTTATATGATGTCCGGAGGGATGCTATAGCGGAGGAAATCTTTTGTTGGGTGAATGTTATATTACCCAAAAAGTGATTTGGTATTGTCGGAACTTCAAGACTATCTACTGTTTCTTCGATAGTATAGTAGCTAGAAAAGTGGGAGCTGAATAACTCACATATCTCCTGCGGGTCTTCGTGTAGTTTTTCTCCATCTAGTAATAAGTTAGGGATACTTATTCTGTTGTTGTTGATTCGTGACTTAATTAGTTTAACTAATGCCTCTGTATTATCAGGTCGTGAGTGGAGGATGCGTTCTAGTTTGATGGACTCAGATAACTGATTAGATTTGTATGAATCATAAGTTTGCTTGAGTGTAATGAGTGATGAAAAGTCATTATATCTGTAGAATTGCCTAGCATGCTTACGCAGTCGGTTTCGAATCTTTACGGGGATGAAGTCGGGCTGTTTAGGCCTCGTTTTCACAAGTCTTACTGGAGCGATGAAGTCATGTGCAAATCCTAGGTTCTCATAGAGTAATTTGTTTGTCTCTATAGCCGAGCTGCACGTAAAGTATGGCTCCCAGTCTAGGGTGCGTATGTATGGTTTCAGTTCATCCCACTGAGCATGTCTGTAACCCCTGAGTAATACTTTGTTGGCGTTTATTGTCGAACTCATGCTAGTGCAAATATTAAATGTACCGAATACTACTCTGTGGTCGCTGCCAGGAAACTCTTTACCTACTCGAAGGGTAGTGGGGATGATACCATTAGTGAAAACTAGATCTAAAATCTTAGATAGCCTGGTAGGATACTGTACGTGTTGTTGCCATTCTTTTGTTTCTATTATGTTGATAAATTCATTGTACCGTTTTGGTGAGGAAAGTGGTTGCCAGACTACATCGGGCATATTAAAGTCCCCACATATAATTTTAGCCGTGTGAGGTAGTGAAGTGGCGTAAGCGAACGTGCTAGCAAGCTTCATATTACCTTCAACGGTTGAGCACGGGGGTGATAGATGCAACCTATAAGATAGGAACTGGAGTGAGACAGTCTTAGAATAGCCCACACTGAATCGTTATCTGTGATGAGCTCTGGGTAGAAGCACTGTGTGGCCTTAATATCAGACCTGATATACATAGCACATCCTCCTCCTCTACCATAGTTTCTGTCGCCTCTGAATACATAATAGTTATCAATAGAAATATCTTTATCGCAAATCTGAGGAGTGCACCATGTCTCAGTAATCATTATGAGAGACGGATTGCAAATTAGGGATAATGTCGTGAAGTCGAACATTTTGTTGAGTAAGGAGCGAGCATTGATAAGACAGAATGAGAGAGAGTTAGGGGTGACGGTGAAATCGCATATATCTTTAAAAATATTCTCTCCAAGGTTTATGGCGTCTAGAACAGATTGTTTGATGGGTGCTAACTCAGATGGTGGCCACTTACTAGCAGTGCTGGAAAAGTGCCCTACACCAGTATCAGCACAGAGAGATGTGCCATCGTTTGTTACCCCGGCGGGTGTGAGGTGTTCATAATACCGTGCCTCCAATGCATCGCCCTCCCATCCGGTGATAAGTGGCTTGACAGTATGTGTGCTATTTGCGTCAATATTGAGGCTGAAATTTCGTGTTGGCTGAGAAAATTTAGATTGGATGGGGGAGGTAGGTATTCCTTGTGGACAGTATGCAAATATTATCGTGATGTCATGACGTGCTGGGTGACCGGGAAAGACGTCGACGAGACGAGGTTCTAGAACGGCTTGGTCGTGTGTTTGTGGTCAGTGCTGTTAAGTGACTCAGTAAGGTGTCGCCTTTGTGTTCTAGAGTCTGTATCCTATCGTGTCTGGTATTCTGCTAGTGGAAGCAACAGATTGAGGTGTTGACCTCTCGTACATGTGATCCGCAATTTTGGCGAGCTTTTCTATGTCAATGTCGTCGTCTCCGAAAGCAAGAACTTGCTGAATGTTTGCAGGAAGTCGACGCAACCCAATTTGGTAAAAGAGACGTTTATCGATATCTCTTCCTGCTACTAGGCTTTGCATGTGCCTCACCTAGCTCTACATTGCTTAACAAACGATCGAGTGTTTGCCTATCAGAAAGCAATGTGCATCGAAGTACCTCTTCCTTCAACTTGTCGTAAGGAGCGTCTGTGCTGGGCTGAACGATGTATTGTCGGACCTGTTCGGCGATTTCGTCCGGTAGTACTGTACTCAAAATGCCGAACTTAGCCGTCTGTGATGTGAGCTTATTGGCAGTGAAATAATGTTCCAGTCATGCAAACCAAAGATGGGTGTCTCTGGGCTTAAAATCTGGTACAGTAAGAGAAATAGTACTAACAGATCCCAGCTCTAAGTTATTAGAGGTACTGGAAGACATGTTACAATTCGTAGAAAAATGGTTTGAGAGTAACAAAATAGCAAAAATTATGCACACCAAGAATATGGCAAAACAGAAAAACATGCAATGCAGATGCTTACCACAGATTACTGCAAGTTGTGTGATGAGAAAGCACAAGAATGAGTTCGAAATGTCTATTATATGTATATATAGACCCAATAAAGTTAGAGTTTAAATAATCCAGCAAGTGTAATGATGAGTTGTGGGGAACAAGTTGTTGTCGGAGTCAGCAAGTTATCGTCAAGGTCACCAATTTGTCGTCGCTGTCGAAATTTGTCGTCGGGCTCACCAATTTGTTGCGTGCGTTATTTGACTAAACTGCCGTACACGTATATTCTAGTATTTCTTCGTTCTTGTTAATGTGCGCAGACGTTGTGGCTACTCGACGCCCACAACGTAAATCAAAAGGCACTTGCGAAGAGTACGATCGTGTATTGTAGCAGTAGTCAAATTCGAAATTGTGTCGAGGTAATATTCAACAGTAAATTGACAAATGTTTGCGAAGTACATATAAAATCGGCCTGTATACACATATAATACAAGTATACAAATTAGATTAAAAAGCATGTTTACAGTTGGTATAGGGGTACTACACCGGATGACTAACGAGTGAAAGAATAAACTCCATTTATAATAGTTTAGAGGTTGACGGATATTAAAGGTTTGAAGTGATATCTCGTTCAACAACTTCTAATTAATTTATTCTCGCGTACCAAAGACAAAGCAAAAGCCAATTATTGGTCGTCCAAACGAAGAAATGTATTTAGGAACCAAAACCAGCCGATAGACGAACGCTTAGCTAGCTAGTGATCGTGCACGTTACACGACGGGGTACCAAATGGCGGGGATGCTTGACCGGAAGCCTTCAGCTAAACAAGTCGACTTAAACAGTGGTGGTCAGCATCCAATGAGTGATTGCTGTGGTCAATAATTTTGGGGAATTATTTACCGCTACAATAGTGACACTGCCCTTACAGACTGCATACTACAAACCACATATAACCAATTTCAGAAACAGTCCTTTTGAAATCAACCAAATCTACAGCATTTGAGTAGTGGGACGAATTACGCTGTCTACAGAAGACCAGTAATCTTTACCTCAAGACCATGGGGTAGGCACAAAGTAATCAATTTGATTTACACTACCTCCTAAACACCATATCAATAATAAGATTACAACATAATTTTAAAAAGTGACCTTGATCTCTTTTAATCTTTCAAAATCTATAAACAAATCATCTGAGGATTTTTAAAGTCATCGAAACACGGATGTTAGTTAGCCTGTTACTTTTTAGTCTACTGTTGCGTTTCCGTCCCACATATTCTCAAAGTGAGTATAGTTTGTTAATTTCAACATAATTTGCTTTCAAAGTTTAATTCACAAGTATCTTATAATTCTGCCAAATTGATGGGACTTCTAATTATCATTACTCGAGTTAAGTCTTGGGTTGATGAGTAGCCTATTTTTATTAATTCAGTTTCGGGATTGCACCTTTCTACTTAATATTGATGATTACTTTACGAATTAGTCAAACTACTGGTATTGTTGTTATATCCCTAGCAAATAAATTCATATCTCTTAATTTCATGATGTTGTTATTGAGGAAATAATTCTGTTAATACTAAAAATGGCATAAACTACGTAAACTGTAATTTATTTATTTCAGCATCATACCCGCTCCCATATAAGTTTGGGCATCAGCTTCGTTTCGTTTATGCGATTGAATTTTAAATATTACCGATCAGCGTAGAAAATCTTTAGCCCATGCTATTTTTTAGATGTAAGTCTCTTGAGCAAGTCGATTTAAGTTGAAAAAGATAGAGCTTCTTCTAGGGGCTGGTTTTAAGATCTAGTGAGCATACGGAAACACCAGAAATCCTTAGGGACGAAGTTCTTCAACGGTTTTTGTGCTCTTCTATCGAGTCATCTGAAATGTTTCTACCAAATGGAGGAAAGGATAAAGGTGAATCACACGAGTGGCAGTTTCTTAAGGTTCTGAACACCATGATTGGATGTCTCTGCCTACAGTATGATAGAGCAGAGATCCCGTATGTTTAGTGGTTTGTTATACTTATTTGTGATTATAGTCTGCAATGGTTGAATGCTGATAAACCAGACAATGATGTGAAAGTCACAAAAGTTAGAAATTTGTTTTCGGGGACATTATTTTACTTCGCACTTGCAATAAGTTGGAACAAATAGTAGTCAGTATTTTAACAGTACGGTAAGAGAAATTGTCAAACACTATATCCACCAAACCTCAGATTTCTTCCTGCGCTGTCATAAGGAAATCTGGGTTATTTTGCAGGCAATTCATTTCTTTTGAGTGACTCTACATTGATTGAAATCATTAATATTTCCAAACTCTTTATAAAATTAAGATCAGTAACCGAATAGTGGAATCTATCACTGAAACGACTAACTTCAACAATTTTTAGCTGAACCAGACATCTGTTGTAAACAAAATGGTCTTCGAGACCCAACTGACGAAGCGTCACGTATTAGCTTGTGCACTTATTACTAGGTTCGTTACAGTCTCATTAAGCTGTTTCTAAATAAGTTAGTCGTATTTGTAGATTTCGTTCAACTGCTTAGACCCAGTAGGTATTTGTCCAGCGGTTTCCAAGACACTTCAACTCCTTGATTTTGTTATCACTTTTCTCATTCACAACTGGCTTTATTAACTCTATCACACGTTGTTCGGGCAAACGTTGATTTTGCGTAATTGTTACTATCATCTGAACACTGCAGGAAATGAGTTTAGTTAGTAGAATATTCACTGGTTAATCGGCATATTTACTCAAGTAATGAATTCAATACTCTCGCTTTGTAAGTCATAAACTTGTCGTTTAGAATAATTCAGCAGTGAGACTGAATTATTATGCTCTTTCTTGACTTTTCGAAATGATAGGATCAATACGCTGTGAAGAGAGTGAAATAATTCTCCGAGCAATCAGTCAGTATAAATAGATACTTAGAAAACTAACAACTTCAGAGCTTTTAATGCCAGTAAGGATGGACCACCATCACCAACAAAAAATAAATATTAGCAGAGCTACCACCACTTTCTCTTTTCAAAAGGATATCAACGGTACCAACGACTGGTAGCTTGTGGTCAGGACTTGAACTCATGCAAAATGCATCTTGTTTAACCCTTAGAACCTCTTCCAGACAAAACTTTCGGCTTGCTTCTAGTCAGATAGGACTCGAAGCAATTGTGAAAGACTCTATACTAGAACGACTAAGTAAAATACTCTACGATACCCTATTTGACAGACATTTAATGTGATAGGAAAAGCGTTGAGTATGAAGTTACTACCTTACTGTGAAACAGTAAGGTACATTGTTGTTACTATTTCTACTTAATTTCAACCTTATATTCATATTTTTATTGAAATTATCATCAATTTAAATGTCGTTTTAGCCATTTCACTTCCCACCATGTCAAGTAAAGGGAAAATTAGACACATTGTTGCACTGTATACTGAAAATTCCACATTGTATCATATGTACTGTTTGAAATAAAAGCATTACTACTATTATCGTTATCATCATTATTATTTGTCATACCCTCAACTGAACTATTAGTGGGCTTTGTCTGTATATTCTTGAAAAATGATGACAAATTCTTCGTGGATATTATCGACTCAACTTTTTGCAGTGAAAGTTCTCATTGAGAGAGACTGAGCATTGAGAAATATTGAAAAAGATGACTGCATATTACCACACAGATCAGAAAAACCATGTGAATTTCGGGTAGTTAAAGCATTTGAATCCCTGAAGACACACTTTATGTGTAAAATCTTATCAGCTGCTTCTCTAGCTTCTCCAAGGTATTAGTGCCAGCATCGTTCAGTTCCTCTGAAGGTACATTTTTGCAACTTGTATCTGCATCTTAACAACGAAGTATTTAATCTTTTGGTTGGGAGCACGAGTAAGTTTAATGAACTGCGCCTTCTCTTATGTTTCAGAAAAGTAGAATATGGAGATGATCTGTTAGAAGTTCTCGAAGTTTCAGATGCTGGAGGGAAGCTGGCTAATCTGGAGACTAAAGAGTCTTCAGTATAATGTTTGCTTCTAATTCAATTCTAGTGATCAAATGAGCTGAAATTTTGTCATCTCAAACATTCTTAGACGAACACCATGCGTGAACCACCAACAAGTACTGATTATTAATTGGAAAAGCCAGTAGTCACCAGTTCTATGTTTAAATTTAGGTTGGGATACTTTTCGTCTACACACTGTGACCTGATTTGACCTTCGGATACACTTGTTCGACTCCCAACAATCTACCTATTCTCAACTCTCCCGCCTTGCATCTTATCAGGTCGGAATAAAAGTCATGATAAGAGATTATATCTGCTCATGCAACTGTTATGTACTGCTGCTGAGTGGTTAATTAGAGTTTTCCCCGTCGCCAGTTATGTTATGTACTCGTCGAGTAGTTAATAGTCCTGACGCGGAAAGAGGGAAATCAGAAGACCACCAGGTTTACGATGATACTTGTATTTTCCAGACAAGGTGGCAGACAAGGTGCGTCGGTGGCACAGTGGTTAGGACTCTCGCCGACCATGCACATGGTCCGGGGTTCGAGCCCACGCCGACGAACACCTGATATCTATGGTTGGCCTGCAAAATTTGGGCTACCGATATCCATGCTGAAAATTCCATACTTGTACCAAAAATACAGTGTGGAATCAAGCTGTAAATCAAAAAAAAAAAAAAATAAATGTCACACTAGTGTGTGAGTTAAATGGTACGACTGTACGAAAAAGTGTGTGAACAAGGGTCTAATACTAAAGTATATATATATATATATATGAAATGGCTAATACACATGAACCAGTAACGTCTTACCATGATTGGTTGTAATGTCATGTGATACCAAGGTAAAACATTGTTTATTTAGTTAGTGGACAGACAAAAGCATAATATCAGTTATAATGGAATATCGATCCATATACACATAGCAAAATATAATAGACTGTCAACAACAAAACACACACATCATGTGGATACATATCAACAGCCAAGTACAGAAACTCAACGACACCCTCTTCGGCCTGCGTTTATTATTATTATCCCCATTTTACACTTTTTATACATTTTTGTAAATTTATTTTCACTTGAAATGTCAAAGAGCTGCTGTTATCAATCCTGACTAAGTATTCCCTGTCATATTATTTGTTTTGTTTCTGTTTTCACTGTTGTCGAGTAAATTAAATGCAGTGCTCTCCCAAATACTGATAATTCTACACTGTATCACACGTAGTGCTTTTAGAATAAAACATACTATTACTATTAAATAAGAAGATAAGGTATATCCATAAACCTTTCTTAAAAATATAGATGATACACTTTTGACTATGAAAAATGAGGAGGAAGCAAAGAACATCCTGGATAAATTTAACGAGGTTCATACTGCAATAAATTTTACTATTGAGAAAGAAAAAGACTCTAGTTCTTGATTCCTAGACGTCCTTATGACCAGAAGAGATGATGGTACAATAAAAAGAAGTGTATATAGAAAACCTACATCAATTGGTTGGTATACTCATTTTTTCGGCTTCGTGCACTTAAAGTGCGAACGCACTCTGATAAAGTGCTTGGTTCACAGAGTAAGAGGAATCTGCTCAGATGAATGTCTTGATGAGGAACTTAATAATATTAAACGGTTGTTGATTGAAAACGGTTATCCAGAAAGGTCTATCGATAAGAATACGAATCTAAAATCAAAACAGCCCAAGGTACCAACAGTTCCAAAAAGGCCTTAGTCGTACAAACGCCGTTCCTTGGGGATAAAATCAGAGAGATACTAACAGAGCGCCTTAGAAATGCGGTAAAAAGGACATTCCCTGCTGCTGGATTACATCGTGTTTTCAAAACCACTCCCCTTTCGCGTTCACGAGTAAAAGATAAACTACCTAATTTCGCCTCTTCCATGTGTATCTACCAATTTAACTGCTCCTGTGGAGTGAGCCAGTTACATAGGCCGTATATTAGGCACGTTTCTCGACGGATTTCCTAAAATTACCCTGCATGATTAAGTAAAGGAGAAAAAAATCCATTCGTAGCGCTATTCTAAGTCATTTACAGCATACCAACAAATCTTAATTCCGCCTTAAGAGTTCCATTACTAAATATTGCTGTGGGCTGTTGGGATCCACATCAAAAAGCCCAATTTGTGCGTCTAAAAGAAGCTAGTTCAAACATTATCCTTACCTTGGCCATCTAGGTTTGAATGATCCTCAATTTTTATGGAATTTTCCTAGTTTTACTTGATATTTTATTTGCTGTTATATCTTTATCATTATTATTATTATTATTATTATAATTTAAGCATCTTTAATGGACTGTAATTCTATCATGATCTCACTTTACAGATCGATATTATTTAAAAAAACACTAATATTGTTATTGACTACTATTCTAGAATATTCTATGTTGATAAACATATGCATATAATTGTAGAGCCAGAAGGCGAAATTATCGAAAGGAATATTCTTCGCTAAATTATTTTGTGTTTTATAAATGTGTTCTATTGTTAAACTGTGGCTTTGTCTTCTACAAAGCAAAACAGAAGAGAATTGTCTTTTTGAGGTGTTTTTAGATCTTCCATAGAAGTAAAATCTTTCGGTCCATTGAATTATCTCTGTGACCAGCTTGAATACATTTTCTGAGAAAGATTCTTGCTTGTAGAAAATTCCTTCTGTCATGCATAACCAAAGAAAACAAAGGGATGAACACTTACTTTGTTTATGATTTCAACAGTCTATCTGTTTATCTTCTGTATATTTTAAAGCCATCAAGTTATTATCAAACTACACTTTACCATGACTCTGAAGTCGTGATTTACTAAACATCTGTAACTGTATGTACACTGAATTGGAGTATAGGATCTATGATACACTACATATGTGACCAGATATTTTTTCTTATGTGTGCGATGGTACGTTTAGTTGCTTCAGTGGAGACTGACCATTAATGAATTAGTTCAACGATTGTAGTCTTCTAAGTCACCACATTTTCGTCTCTTTGGGCCTCAGCAGAATGAAAATTTTAATTTTTCATGGCGGTTTATTTGTGCCGTATTTTGAAGCACACTACTTTGTGGTACAGCCTGCTGTTTGAAGTCATTTTTTTCTATATCCTTTAATTCCTAGAGGAACATAGGGCTTCAGCTGCGCGCCTCCATTCTCTTCTGTTTTCTGCCTAGAACTTCCATGCAGGTTTGACTCCACACCGTTTTCAAGTTGTCGCAGTGCTTTTCGACGCCGACCTTTCCGCTGGTGTTGATTTGTGTCTCGGCTTTTTCCCTTATGTTTGCAGTGAAGATGTCCTTTGTAGCCTGGTCCTTCAGCTTTTGAGTGTTGAACTTGGCTTGTGGTTTATCTTCAGCTCCTGTTTCCCTGAAAGCTTTTAATTTGATTTGGATTGTCCCTTGTACAAGATAGTGGTCTTAGCCAACGTCTGCTCCTCTTCTTACTTTTGTGTCCAGTAGGCTGCGCCTCCACTTCCTTGAGCACCATTGAGATGAAGTCGACTTGGTTTTTGGTTTGCCCATCTGGTGACACCCAAGTAGCCTTGTGGATATCTTTGTGTCTGTATACACTGCCACCAATCACTAAATCGTTGAAGGCGCAGAAGTCGGCGAAGAGTTCTCCACTTTCATTCATTTCTCCTAGAGCTTCTCTACCCATGATGAGTTCCCTTCCTGTGTTGTCTGGTCCTAGCTTGGCGTTCATGTCTCCCATTAGTATTTTAATGTCACCAACTGGAGTATTGTCCATTGTTGCCTGTAGTTGCCTGTAGAATTCTTCTTTCTTTTCGAGGTCTGCGTTGTTTGTGGGTGCATAACATTGTATAATCGACACTTTCCTTCTTTTAGAGTTGAATCTGGTGGTCATTATCCTGGACGAGATCGCCTCCCATTGCACCAGGGCCTTTGTTGCCGTTGGTGACATCATGATAGCCACGCCCTCGGTGTGCGTGTGGTTATCTTCTGGGTGATCGGAGTAGATCACTGACTCACCCGTTGACAATTTGGTCAGTCCACTCCCATTCCATCTGCTTTCACATATTCCCAGTACTTGGATTCCGTATCTTTTCATCTCGTTTGCGATCTGGGCAGCTTTCCCAGTCTCATACATAGTGCGGACGTTCCATGTCCCCACACAGACTTTTTCCTTTTGTGCAAAGAGGTTCATTTTGCTGAAGTTTCTGTAGCAACTTTGTTTACAGGGTGGGGTTGTTAGCCTCACGCCTGAGAAAGGAATGATTACATTAAGATAAAGTTTAGAGAGAAGCGACCTTTTCGGCTGCTCCCCTTAAAATCGGATTACAAGGGATAAAACAATCAGAACAACACCAACAATAGGAAAACAATTCACAGCATAAAGGGCAAAAAGCGTCAACAACGATACAATAAAACAACATGCAATATAGTTCAGCACAGTTAACTAAAATGATACCAACACCATTGACTCACTGCCTTGGGACAACTTGAACATATAGATCCAACAATGTACACAATTATAGATATGAGTTTATGTTAAAAATTTCACAGATCCAAATAGTTAGTTATAGGTATTATCTGTCAATAAGATTATATCCACAGATTTAGTGTTGGAAAGGTAAATAATTGTAGTAATTTCCACAAACTCTTGGCATGAAATTCTACAGAAAGAAGAGTTTTTATGAAAGTAGGGAAATGTAACGCAGTAGTCGAAAAAGTCTACAACTGCTTTAGGTAAACTAATAGGAATATCAGTAATTTTAATGTTCCTTGAATAACTATTATTATTATTGTTCTGTTGGGTTCTAAGCAGAAAAAACACCTTCAACATCTCCACTTTTTTGCTATTTTCTGTCATCCTTGTTATCTAGCCCCACAGTTGTCAATAGTCGCTAGTCTTCTCCTCGCACGACTTTCTCCATGTCACCCTCACAACCAAGCCCCATTGGTCGTTTCCCATTCAGGTCCCACTCGAGCGATGGCCTGCATTCCATGAAATGTCATTCGATGACTCTGGCGATAAATAAAACGTTCATTGCTGTATTTTCTTCTTGTAGCAATGGCAGATGTCAGATGATCCACAATGAACTCAGTAAAGCATTTGAATCGAATACAGGAGTTAGACAAGCTTACTGACTGCTATCACCGCTGATGTTCCAAACTGTGACGCACTGGATTATGCGTCAGACTGTTCATGACAGCAAGAAGACAGGAATATCCTGGGCGAGTGAGAAAACTTTAGAAGATCTGAATTTCAAGGATGATATGTGTTTAACGTCACACAAACTCGGAGAATCACAGGCGAAAACCAACCAGCTGACTGAAGAGGTAGGCAGCAAATACAAGACTTCAGGTGAACATGGAGAAAACAGAGGTGATCGAGATAACCAACCAAACAACAACAACAACAAGCACCAATCACCATCAACAGGAGAAATTTGACAGAGGTTACTTCGCCCACTTATCTTATCAGACAGCGTTGTTTCAACTGAGGGTGGAATGGATGAAGATATGAAAACTAGCCAGACTTGGAAAGGCAAGATGTGCCTTTATCGCTCTAAAATCAGTTTAGAAATCTTCTACTTTCAGTATAAGAACAAGACTTAAACCGATAGTCACACCCGACTTATTGGAACCCGCTGGTCACGACTCCTCAGTAGACGTTCAGACAGCTCTCTCCTTTAGCCAGTCACTGGTGGGCAGTAGACTAATTTTTAAGTATTGATTTCAAGATTTCTCACGAACTGAATTCAGTTAAAGAACCAGTGAAAAATAGGTAGCGAGTACTGAATATGTGTTTCATCCCTGTTTGGGACTCCTCAACTTTCACTCTGTTTCTTTCTTACTCTAATCAACTTTTTTTTAAATTTTTCACCTTGTTTTCTAGCAACAATCAAATGGTGTTCAACGTCACCAGAAGAACAACTCAAATGTAATCGTCTTAGTTCAGTCATTCAAAATATCCCCACATTTCTAAGCAAATACAACTTAACTTGTATTCAAGGCTTAGATGAATTTAACTGTATGAAATTGGTCAGTGAAAGATCAGCTGATTTAGTGAATCTTGATGTTGGTCTTGCATATTATGGCAGTTCATTGTATAGTCTACGTCCAATAGCTGTAGAAAATTATGCATTGAGTAATGCAGCCAACGCAAGAAATTTATCCTATTATGCTGTCATGATTAAACCAATTGGCGTTAGTGTAGATCCTACAAATCTAAGAGGTAAAGAGATCTGTTCAGCTGGTAAGTTGAAATAAACTAATCATATTAACTATTTAGGTGCTGGTACTGCTGAAGGCTGGGTAATGCCTGTTGGTAAACTGATTTCTGACTTAAAAACAATCCCAGTGATACAGTGTAACAGTGTGGTACAAAATTTAATTCGTTATCTTGGTGATTCATGTGTACCAAATTCGCTATCAGAGATTTTTAATCCATTTGGAGATAATACACAAGAAGTTTGTCGTTTATGTTATAATTCAGGATTATCAGAATGGTGTGCTTCGCTGGATAGATATGCTGGAAATCAAGGTGCATTAAGATGTTTAAGAGAGTATACAGAGAATTATGAATCAAAGTATAAACCAGTTGTTGCATTTGTACGTGATCAAGAAATTGACTTAGCCTCTCGTGATGGTTTTCCAATACAGAATTATGAATTATTATGTCCATCAAAAATGCCTGAGTAAGTTCATCCACCCAGTGAATACTATAATGTGTTTTTTTGAATAAATAAAGACTATTATCCATACTGAATAACCTGTCGTTACATTCATATATGGTGTATGCTACTGATTAGGTATACCAGTAGTATAAAATGAGACGTCCAAAAGCACACAAAAACATCAAATATTGGGGAGATAGATCTGATGCCAAAGAGAGAAAATGGTTCAGGGTTGCGGGAAAACATGGAAAACACGAAAAGAAGACAAAAAACACAATACGAAGGGTAGAAGTGGCACTACACAGAAGATCTGTGCGAATCATCGTTTGCACATGAATTTGATGTATAAAATTCCGATATATAGATATACGGAATTCCAAAAAAAACATCTCCTAACCAAGTCTCCCATCTTATATCTTTACACACGCAGGTTTATATACCTTATTAGTGTTCAAATGCTTAGAAGAGCGTTGAGTTACCTCAATTGCCAAGCTGTCAGGTGAAATCCAAGTGTTTGACAGAAGCTGGAATTCATGGGCCATTGGATCGTGTCCCAGTGGCTTAATGGTCTACGAGCTCGCCTTGTAACCAGAAGTTCCTGGGTTCGAACCTCGGTGGGTTCATATTGCTGAAGAGTCGCAAACTAGGACGAAACAGTCGGCTGTCCAGTACTGCATAGTTGGTTTTCCAATGGTTCTCTAACTGATATCAGCTCATGATGAAATTCTCTAAATGATTAAAGACGATTTGAACGTTCGAGGGGGACATGGAGGATATCATGTGAAGAGGAAAAGAAAACCAGCTGGAAAAGAGTGTGATGGAGATGTGCTGTCGAATCCCTATACATTTCACTCAACATCTATGAAGATAACAAAAAATTAATTTTCGCGTTGGTATTATACTACTTATTTTTGTTGTTAGTAAGTTAGCATAACTGTTGAAATTTTCATACGGTTGATACATAGTAGTGACTAATATCATTTGTCTAGTAGTTTGTTTGGTGCAGACTGAATTCTCTCAGTCCAGTTGGCAATGTTGCCACTATGATGGGTGGGCCACTATCACAGTTGACTCTAAATCGTTGTTATTAGATGGGTGGAGGCAATCGGCAGGAACCCTTGTACCTAGGTTTCGTGAATTTTTGCACTCATCAGCAAGGAATATCCCTCATCCTTGAAGGAACTTATTTCCCTTTTATGATTCGAACCCTGGTTACTCAATGCTGATAGTGTTCTGTTCACCTGAATTCGTTTACCTATTTTTGATAGATAATTTTTCATTTAAACCTATTAAGTTGAAATATCTACTAAGTTCCTAGTCAAAATATATTTAACGGCAATTCGATTGATTCAATATTTGAGTTTTCCATGAATGGGCATCAAGTATAGAAACAGGTGAGAAATAAAGACCATCAGATGACTGCCTCTTCACAGAATAAGACTTCTGATAGGTTCACACGTGCACCTCTGCAAATGGTTGGGCTTAAAATAGTCACTCTTCAAAGCAGATATGTCACTATTAATTCACTGATTCGTGACGCAATGGTTCTTGAATTACAGCCTTTATCGATCCATCTGTCTAGGAAAAAAATCACCAAGCTTTCTATTAGAATCTGTGTTTGTGCATTTTACCACCTTTCAACTTACCTTTATGGGATAATTACTGAGTCAATAAGATATACACTTCGCCTTCCTCGTTCGCGTTTGCACACATTTTCATTTGTGATAGTTATCGTCGCTTTTTTGAGTGGGTTTACAGTAAGCAACTTTTCAGCCTTAATTCTATACAACAGGTTGAAATTAAATGTGAGTAAAGCAGTATAATATGGTGACATCGTTTATTCCGTCGGCTTCTTATCAAATATATGCACAAGCGGAGACATTAATTAAGCGTAGGCACAGAGAAATTTTAGCGCACCTGTAAAGATGACATGATATTAGCTAATAGGAGATTCCAGAATTAATAAAAAGTGTCCACAAATTTCACTCACATAGTTTATATATATAAAACTAAAAGATAAATGTCTCAATACAATGGAAAAGAAGTTGTGTAACAATGCGGTGAGTTCATCTCAAATCATAGAAACAAAGAAATTTACATTACATGGGAATAGAAAGACGTTCAATGAAGGAGAGAATAAAGATACCTAGTTATCAAGGCAAGGAAAGACTGATAACTGCTTCTTTCTGAATACATAAATGGGGTTTCAGGCATTTGATAGAGACTGCTTCGGAAAACTTGAGAAGGATTGAGCTGTTTTGTCTATTCATAATTTTAAAGGATTTCTTGATGTCCACCTCCCGCTCCGTATCAGCGACATGCCTGTTGATAGCAGAGTTAAGAGAGTAGGCTTATTATATAGGTTCAGAGAATCAAAGGCGTGCTCCTCTTTAGGCTGTGGCTTTAATCGAATCCATAAAGGGGAATACCTATATACAGTCAAACTGTTTATCCGAATAAGTGTTCTTGTTTACAGTAAACTGAGAGACTGAAGTACCGATTTACATCTTTTCCTAAGCTAATCGTTCACAATATTTTCACAAATAAACTTGATTATATGAGAGATGGACATTTATAAAATAATTTTGAAGGTTGTCATAGTAGAATTTAGACTAACACATTTAATCAGACAATTAGATCCATTGAGGCTCTACTCCAGTATTACATAACTTCATCGGTAAATATTAAATATAAACCAGTCATATTGCTAACAACTGGTAGCTGTCACGTTGACACGATGATCAGGCTTGCATATCACAATGACCCAACCAAGTAAGCTGGCCGGAATAAACGTTCCTGTGGAACTTATCATATCATAAAGGTCGCTTGCTAGTGGTGAATAAGGGTATATCATCCGTAACGTGTTTCCCTTGGATGACCAACAACAAACGAGTCAAGCTGCTTCGCAACTCCGGAGTAGATGATGTTGGAAATGGTTGGTCCGGAGAAAAACTGTACGCCCAGCTTACCATGAAGCTTATCATAGCCTGTCGTTAGGCCTTCACTCAGAAATAACTGCAAAATTTACTTCCAATAGGCCATTTGAAAACGAGGTCAGGAAAATGTCCTCTGAGCTGTGTGGTTGAACAATACTAATGCTCCTACATTTTTCGGGTATCTTAAGTAGAGATTTCAAGAACCAGTCAATGGCAACTTGTCAGCAGGATGATAATAATAATTTTATTCATTTCAATAAAGCATAATGGAGAGATTTGTGATAATAAGAATATCGAAAAACAGCATGATTATATAAGCAAGTATTCAAATATACACAGCAAATAAAAGCGTATAAAATAAATGATAAGTTTAAGCAATACCAGACTGTAAGGAAAGTAGATGAATTCACGTTTAAAGAAGATGTAATAAGACTGAGTAAGGAATGTCAAAAAATGAGAAGAAAGGATTTACAGTGTATTTTAGTGCTGATAAAGGATTGGCTAATGGCTGTACAAACATTTTTCTGAACACAGCCTAAACATATTAGTTCGAATGCTTATGTACAACAGACAAATACAAGAGTTATTAGAAAAATTTGATGAGATGAGGTAAATTCCCTTGAATGCCTTCATTTTGCTCATTGAGTAACCACAACTAACGAGATGGAAGAAAACGAAGATCCAAGCACTTCTTACGCCTTGCTGACGAGTGCCAACTAGCAAGAACCCTAGGTCCAAGGCTTCCTGTCAATTACCTCCAACTATCTAATATCATCAAATCAATTTGCACCATGACGGCGAAATACCTAGAATGGTGGCCACATTGCAAACCTGAATAATCGAATTCAGTCAGCACCAAAGAAAGGACTAGACATGCCACACTAGTTACTAGTGTCCAATCAAAATACCTGTTTTTCACTTAAATACGATAGGTTATGTTGTGTGATACGTTGACTAAGTTGTTTAGCAGTGCACTCAACAAAACCACCCTCACAGGAGCAGTCGAATCTTTAAATACATATGAAAATGTTTAAACTAACTAGCCTCTCCTTTAGCTTGAGTTATAATCGTAAGAATCTTTAATCAAAAACTATTTATAAACCTCTGGATTGACTTCAGTATAGAGGAAAGATATTCCAATAGGCTATAAAAAATTGAAGGTCTTCAGGATTATGGACTCTCTGTGATCTATAGAAGAGAATTTTCTAGAAATTTTCTTTAATAAGAAACTTCCTAAAGATATTTCAATGTATTATTATTATTGTTTCCTTTAGTTCCTAGAGGAACATAGGGCTTCACCCGCCCAAGTCTCCATTGCGTTCGGTTCTCTGCCTCGTTTTTCCCTGACTTCACGTGTGCCCACATGCTTTCATCTCCTCTTCACGTGACCTCCTCTAAGTCACCCCACTCTCGCACTGACAACTCACTCGCCGCTTCTCGTTCAGGTTCCACTCGATTGATGTCCTGTCTAGTAATGTCACTTGATGGTTTCCTCAGAGTATGGTCAATCTACCTCCATTTCTTCCTGCTTATTTATTGCACAATCTGTTTCTGCTGGCGTGGATCACCTACTCAGTTCAGATTCGGTTTTACTGTCGCCTTGAACTGTGCAGTTTGCGGAATCGAGAATCTGATTCTATGTATTACCAGCTCGCCTAAGTATCTAGTCAGAATTCACCTGGATTACTAGCTTGCTAGTTTTCTTGTCGGTCCCAAGCCCGGACTAAGAGGGAGGGTTGGGGCGTGGTGCTAGCAACTCCACCCTCAAAACTCAACCAAACCGCTACAGGAACTTCAATGCACCAATATATTAAAAATTCTAAAAATATAAACAGTAACCTTATTTTTCGCTGGAATCGGGGAAGTGAAATGACGCAGGCTGGTGAAAGCTAGCCTTCGGGAAGCCAGTCAGCCGACGTGCCTTCTTTCGATGAAAGCAAAAGTAAGGATGGGTACATGGAATGTTTGTACAATGTACGAAACTGGAAAGGCTGCCCAGGTAGCAGCAGAAATGAGGAGATATAGAATAGAAGTGCTGGGAATCTGCGAGAGCAGATGAAACGAGTGTAGTAGGTGCCAACTGCCAACTGGGGAGACAATAATCTATTCAAGCCACCCAGAGGACATTCACGAGCACATCGAGGGAGTGGCCATCATGATTGTTGAAGCCCTATGCTCCACTAGGAACCCAAGGGAACAATAAATAAATAACAACCCTCTGTGCTAAGTCACTTCGAGTATACCGCTGATGGGCTTGACCCCCGAACAAACGAATTTACGGTATGGTATTTAGGTCACTGAATGACAAGCATTAAAGGCTTGCATAACATAAAAATTTAATGGAAAGTGATACAAAGATACAATTTCCATCCCATTCATAGCATTCAGATATTGTTGTTTTAATAACATACTCACTCAATGTCCAATGAAGGATGTATCTTTCAAAATGTTTCTTTCTTTTTCCTTTTTTTTCAATGATAGTGGAAGTTGGACAGCCAATATCTCTTCGTCATCTACATGTAATTGGGGCAGAATTCCCTCACGTATCCTTATGACAAGTTTAATTCAATCTGATGTAAATAAGTATACAGAATTTCTTAATATGTTAGTTCAAAATTTTGGTCCTGGCGGGAGTAGTGTTTCAATATTCAATTTATTTTCATCAGCTGGTTATTCAATGCCTAATGGAATAAACGTTACACATCATTTAATGTTTTCAGATTTTACAAAAAATATTTATATACCACCTTTAAGTGAAACAGAGACATATTACAGATGGATAGGTAAGTTGATTATGGTGAAAATTTGTTTGAATACTCTAATGAACAGAATATTCGCATACTTATTCAAATGAACTGTGATCAAGATTTGACAGAATAGTTACACAGTAATTGAGCACCGACTGAGAAGTAGACATTCGCAAAATCTCGTGGAAATTGAAATCAGTCATTCCAACGTTTCCTGCGTTCGGAAAACTGGTCCGAACTTCTTCAGTAAAATTAAAATAACAGAGGTCTGAATATAAAAAAGACATTTCTTTTGTTTTTAAAGCCTTTGTCCAATCATACGAGTCAAGAAACAGTCATCAAAATATAATAAACAAACAAAATCGTATGAGCTGGGATCTAAATTTGACCTCAGACTTACAAAAATAATATTGGTCTACTTTTATTAAACACTTTAAACAGAGTGTACGTTTCATCAGAACTTTATTGATTACGTTCGACTGAAAGTTCATGGTTGCATGTATGTGTGTATAGGTAAACAGTTGTAAAACATTTGTTAGCCTCTCTCCGTTGTGTGCAACAGAATGTATATCCTGAATCCGTTGCTGTCAAGTCACTTGACAACTCCAGTAGCTCAATTAAAGGAGCTCATTCAGAAACTAGAACTTTTTTACTAGAATGCATTCATAGAGCAACCAAAAATATGGAATCATTTTGAATGAGAATTTCCAATATTGATGAAATCTTATCTATCTTGGTTACACCAGAATTATAGGCTGTCATTAATAATATATCTAAGTTTAAAGAAGAATTTTATCTTCAACCTTCAAAAAGAGAAGATAAGTTAATTAGTTCGATGGAGTGTCTTAACTAAGTTCTAATCCTAAACACCATAATTTTGAAAATATGTCTAATCACAAAATTCTAGATACTAACGGTTTGAACAGACGTGAAGGTGTGATGTTAGCTGATGCATAGGAAATCCTGATTAATAAATTAAAAAATGGATATGTATCACTAATTAATCATATTTGGTCAAGAACTCCCAATTATCCATCTCTTCTTATGGAGAGGCTAACAAATGATTTACAACTGTTTACCCAAACACACATACACATATCATTGTATGCCACATTTGCACAAATATTTTCATATTGAGTGATCTACGACCATGAACATTTAGTCGAACGTGATCACTAAAATTCTGATAAAAAGTACACTCTTAGAAGCTAATTGGTAGATGGTGACTAGCAGTGGAATCCAGGATGCGCAGTTGCCATTGGGTACATGGGCTCCAGCATCCAATCGGATCAAATGGCATATGAACCTGTACCAGTCACCGCAACCATGGGAACGTAGCTCCTGACGCTGCTCATCTGCTTTGCAGATTAGACTCCAAGACAAGGGTTGGGTAGTGGTCCATTAAGATAACCACCTGCTTCGGTCTGGGCAGTATCTCAGCCCTCATAAAATCAATGAAATCAAGCTCTCTTTCAGGATCCATTCCAGTGCATCAGACAAACATATTTTATACTTATAGAGTCATTATTGACTTTTCCTCTGAGCTGAGTAGTTAAACTGTAAAGCTCCCGCTTTCATTCTTGATTATCCATCGATTTTATAAGGTAGATTTAATCATGAAGAAATTCTAAAACCCACTGACTGAGGTCTGCATCCAGGAGTCACTGAATTCCAGCCAGGTGCCTGAATGAAGGTCTGATTCGCTTTGCGAACTGAAAGTCCTGGGTTCGATTCCTGATGGGATTGTGAGTGAGCACTGGTGAAGAATCCCGAACTAGATCAAAACTTCTGATCAGTTCTGTATGTATACCAGTGGTTCTCTGATTGATGGAGACCGGTGACGAAACCTATCATGATACCAGATTGTTTTAAGTGATTAATAGAAGAAAGCCATACCATATTTGCGTTTAACGGTCTGTTGACATTCAATTGAAAATTATATTCCTTGATGATGCATACTGATATCGTGCATCAACACAGAGAGAAGAAGATAAATCTGGGATCGAGTTTGCCGTTTTGAAGATTACACAATTCGGGTTGAAATTTCATTGCTGTCTGCCTCGAAAGCAGAAGTTATTCATACCACGGTATTAGATCTGATAGAAACAATGAAATATGATGAAGAAAGCAGACTTCAATCACTTTGATCTGGCTGGCAAGCACTACTGGTTAGTGTGAGGGATGTCTGACTACTCATAGTGACCAATTAGTAGCATGTAACATCAAGGATTTATGCTTACTTTCTCGATTACACTACTTACGGTATCAAATAGATAACATATTTTGATCTGAATAAATTTAGTTCTCAAAGGGGACTGTGGTGGATTATCACCTCGAAGTGTGTAGCTTGGAAATCGCATACATAACTTCGCAATTTGTTTGGTCTATCCAGTTTAATAGTCCAGTGAGCTTTCACATTTCAGATGTAGCGCATGGCCAGTTACCTGGAAAGAATTATTACAGCCCGTTAATTGATTCTGATTATGATGCATGACAGGACCGATTCAACTTACCTCTGAAAGCCAGGTCATATGATATAGTGCAGATTATAAATTTCACTCGGTCTAATCACACAAACAGTACTCCACTTCTAACAATTCCTCCTTTGACCTATCTAATTAAAAAAACAAAACAATTAACATGACCTAACTCAACACAATACCTGATAAAAGTGCTTATCATTCCAAAAGGAGACACACCACAGCATAAAACTAAGGAAGAAATCAACAAACCGACGCACATCAGTGTAGTTGTGTTGCTATGGGTGTATTTTTAACCATTAGTGGTTACGTTCCCAGTCTCGACGCTAACTTTAATAGCAGGAAAACACTCTTTGCTGCCCATTTTATGTCAAATTGAAGTATTAGTCAATCTTCTTGAAACCTGCTGACAACGATAATCAAGGCTCATCTGTAGCTTTGGCAGAACTATTTGAAACCATGTGGTAAGTAGTGGTAACTAATTTCGCCTTAGCTAGAGACTCTTCATCGGCATGCACCCATCACCCCACTAAATGTCACACTAACGGAAACCACCAAGGAGGCACTGGCCGGCTGGTTAGCCCCAACTCAGGACTCTTCACAATACTCACGCCCCCGGATTCGAACCCAGAACCTTCAGGTTAAAAGGTGCGCTTGTTGACTGCCAAGCATCTGGAACAGAACCCAACGGCCCACGATTTTCTACTTTTGTCTGTTTGCACTTTTTAGCGCCACTACCAGCCAACATCATTGGTGAGTATTTGTCTTCACATCCTACCTGGTGGACCTTACTCCAGACAATCACGTCCTGTAGTCATTCAGTGGTGAACATCAGAATAATTTTAAACAGTTTGTTGTTAGGGATTTGATTTATTTCAAGTGTGACCATGGATTGAACTTAGTTAGAGGACCAACAACAATCAGCACCAATCAACATTAATGGGAGAAATTTGAAAGGGGGTTACTTCATTCACTCATCTAGGAAGTCTGGTTTCAACTACAGGCAAATTCACGAATGAAGAAATAAAAACCAGACGGAAGCGGAAAGTCAGGGTGTGTCTTTATCACTCTAAAATTAGTCTGGAAATCTTCTGAACTCATTCAGCATAAAGTACAAGATTTGGATTTTCATAATAAATGTTAATTCAGTCAGTCTTTTTATTTATGTCAGAAAATTGACGCCCGCTTCACAACAGGCATTTCCAACAGGTTGCAGACTTTCATCAACGGATGCGTTCTCTGGCTGGATATTGAAGATCAAACGGTAGGCTAGGAATAATTACCAACAAGAAGGTATGGGAACTGACTAACCAAGAACTTTTTGTTCAGTAAGTAGGTGAGAGATAGTGGAGATGGATTGGACATACTCTGAGGTGACTGTCGGGCGACATCTCACTGTATCATGACCTAGAGCAGAACCCGACGGCGAAGCAACAAGCTCGGCTACCAAGAGTGGGATGGTGGAGATCGTGTGAAGAGGAGATGAAACCTTACGAGTAGTCATCGGACCAGCCAAAAAGAATTGCAGAGAAGAGGAAAAAATGGAGATGTACTGTTGAAGCCCCATGTTCCGTGAGGAACACAAGGGAGCAATAATAATAATAACAATAATAACGACAATAGAGAACCATTGAAAACCAGGGGGTGCTGGGTACGTGTTTCTTCCATCCCAGCTTGGGAATCAAGCAGTACTCACCCATTGGGTTTAGAACCCAGGACATTCTGGTTATAATGCAAGCTTGTAGATCATTCAGACACTGAGACCTGACTCAGCAGCCCATGAAATCTTACTTCTACTAATTCATGATTTTAGCATGACTGACCGATGCCATCATCGAGTATCTGTCCTCACTCACGTCAGACCTGGTGAACATCACTAGCCACAACTTTTCACTAGAAGTTCAGGCAAATTCATTCTGTAATCAGTCACTGGTGAATATCAGATTGATTCTCATGAGTTTATTTGTAGGCATTTGATTGTTTTCAAGTTTGACGCTGAATTAATGTCAGTTTAGCATAAAATCAGTGATATTTGATTCATTACCATGTTTTCTTCACTTTGTCTTCAATAATGGAGGTCCATTTTAACATTTCTTTTCATACTGTCGCCTTTACAAGATCCATCGTTTAGAAATGCTTTACAAAAATTAGAATTATGCCCATTACCAACACTTGGTTGGTGTGTAATCGATGAATTTGAAATGGCTAAATGTCAACGTATGTCCAGCGCATTCTCTGCAAAACGTATCCAGCCTGATATGTATTGTCTACAAGCGAATTCAACGATTGATTGTATGCGGCTAATTAAAGATGGTTATGCTGATATGGTTACATTAGAAGCTGGTGATTTGTATATAGCTGGGAAGCATTTTGACTTAGTGCCAATTATTGCAGAGTAAGTATTGAATTTTTTTATGGCAAATTTTTATTTTGCATAATGGCGTATACTACTGATTGATTTAAGTAGCTAGAAACTTCTCATATCAACCATAAGTGGACGGCAGTTTAGTCCGTTTAAAGCAGAGATACACCAGCGGTGCATCGTGTTAGATGAGTATTTAGATAAATTACAGATGGTTAGCAAGTATCATTGTACGGTATATGGAGTTTCTTGTTTCCTGTTATCAGTTATATATGTTAGTAATCTCTTTCAATGTTTCCTAAAACTCCAGAAGATGAATCTACTGCATGCAATTATCACTAGTTAGTTATCCAGTATCACTCCCTCTAATCTCAGGAGTAATTTCAGTTTATTAAGGCTAGAAAGTTAGACAATCCCACGCTGTCACACAATGTATGCCTTATTGGATTATTCGGAAGCATTTGGAAGTCCGTCGGTGACAATAGTATTGATTACCTTGCTCATTGAAACGAACTGACAGTTCATTGAATGACGGTGAAAGTTGAATAGCCCTAATTTTATTGATCACAGAGTTCTGTCCAGTGAAATGTATTCATGCAGCATTGATTTGCAGATTGTCTTTAACTTTTTGACATTAATTCAAAGTACCCCTAGATGGGGACTTACCTCGCTTGATGTGACTAAGTTGTAAACCTGACCGACAGTCAATACCAAGAACTTTCATGCATATAACAATGAAAGCTCTCTAGGAAATCATTGCTATTTTTTTAGTAATGCTGGATTCTGTAAGCTGAAAAGGCTGAATATAACTCAAGAAAATATGAACAGTTCAGGGTTCTAAAAGAATTAATTACCGGGATTTTCTGTCTAAGGTGTTTTATAGATTATTCTTAGGTCGTAGAATGTAAGTGGTTGTCTGTATATTTCTCGAATTCAGAAATTGTGCCTTCATTCTGATTTTTCGTATTACCAGTACCTAACTATCATTCTATGGTGAATGAATCGTAAAATAACTAGAATTATTCTGCTGCGCTACAAATTTTTTTAACCACCTCAGAATGACTTCGGGATCCTGAAAATGAGCAGCATACAGTATGTGTTAATAACTGATATCGTCAGTAAGGGAAAACCGATATCACACAATACCTCTTTCTGATTAGGTACAATACTCAGAGCATTTCATCCGTAGGCTGCAGATTTTCATCAACAGCTGCCTTCGTTCCATACTGGAGATAAGATGCTGGACAGAAATGATAAGCGCAAAGGAACTCCGGTAATGAAAGAATCAATAGCTTATTGCTCCCAAAAATGTACAGGAAAAAATGGAGATGAACTGGACATACACTGCCAAGACTGTTGAGTGACATCACGCGCCAGGATATCGCCGTGCGTCAGTGGCACAGGGGTTAGGACTCTCGCCGATCATGCACATGGTCCGGAGTTCGATCCTCTGCCGACACATACCTGATATTTTTGGTCGGCCTGCGAAATTTGGGCTACCGATATCACATACTGAAAATCTCATACCTGTACGAAAAATACGGTGTGGAATCAAGCTGTAATCAAAAATTAAAAAAAAAACAATTGAGTGGACCCGAATGAAAAACGACGAATTTAGCTCCCAAGGGTGGCATGGAAAATGCTGTGTAAGCAAGAAATGAAAGCTCATAGGTAATAGTGTAGAGAATAGAGTGAAGTCGTCAGTGAATTGTGGGAAACCAAAGGAGTAATATCAATAATGATAACAGCATAAATACCGTTTACCGCGTTGGAATAAGTTTTACGCAAAATTTCAAGCCTACTTAAAATAGTTTTGAGTAGTTTAAATTAAACGTTAGTAATTCCTCACATATTTTAGTATACTTCACTAATTTTATTATTTAAAAACCACACTGCACATATCTTATCTAAGGTACATTTGTTTTTGTTTAAATTAAAAGAAATTATGGTAGTGGACCATTTTATTATGCTGTGGCTATCGTTGAAAAAGTAAATCCTGGTTTATTAATTTCAAATTGGCGCCATCGTCGTACATGTCATAGTGGTGTTGGTAAAGCAGCTGGTTGGATTATTCCATTAAATACTGTACTGGATACAAGACAAGTGATTGTAGTGGATGGACATTTAGTCCATGCATTCGGTAGGTTGCTTTCTAATCTATGCATTCTTTGATGTAATTATACTTAGGTAAACAATAAATTTGATAACCTGCAGTCAATTTTAGTCAGTCTTGCCTTAAAAATATAAAATTTTGGATATTTTTCAAGAAAAACATGGAACGTATTCAAAAATACTGAAATTTCAAGAGGAAGGGGGGGGATAAACAAATTTGATCTATTTTACATTAGATTAGCCATTTACAGACGTTCTGAAATACTCCTCGCCTCAAATATGTCTTATTCGAACTAACCAGTTGATTTAGTTGTTTGACACAAACAACTGAAGTGATTGAAGTATACACCTGATACAGTCCTAATGGAAGTCGAATGAAGGTTTGAATACTTCAGTGATAGTAACTTGAACTCAAGCACTGTTATCACTGCAACTATGAGTGAATACTAAATTAATGCGCTGGCTAATCTGTCCTAATTGTACGTTTACAACAACAAGAACACCGCCAACACAAAGACAAAAGAAAAGAATGGACGTCAATATCATCAATATTATAACTATCCCCTTGCGTTCCGAGTAGAACATAGGACTTCAACAACACACCTTCACTTTGTTCTGTTTTCTGCCGTCCTCTCCACCTCGGTCGACGATTGACCGAACTCTGTCATCTCTTCTTCTCACGATCTCCTCCATGTCATCCTAGCACCGACGATCCGACTCGTTGCTTCCCGTTTAGTTTCCACTCAAGCGATGACCTGCATCGAGAGGGATGTCATTCACTAGCCTCCTCAATGTATGCCCAGTCCATCTCCACTTTCTTCTGCATATTTATTGATCAATCGGCTCTTGCCTTTTGGCTTGTTCTCCGCCAGAGTTTCTTGTTGCTTATTCTTTATGGTCAGCTGGCCATTTGATCTTCAGTATGGAGTCAGCGAAGTGGGCAGCTGTTGATGAAACTCTGCAACCTGTTGGAAGTCCTTTTCGTAACACGCAATATAAGTTTCTGTCCTTTATAGAAGGATCGACTTGACATTGGTGTTGAAAGTGTGAATCATGTTCCTTATGCTGAGTGTGGAAGATTTCCAAACTGACTTCAGGTTAATGAAGGCGTCTCATGCCTTTCCAGTTCTGACTGGTTCCGACACCTTCATCCGTTCCGACTGTCTGCAGTTAAAACGATGCTTCCTTGCCAGATAAGTGAAAGAGGCGATCTCTGTTAAATCTCTTCTGTTGATGGTGATTAGTGCTGGTTGTTGCTGTTGGTGGTTGATTGTTTGTCTTCATCTCCTTCGTCTTTTCTGCGTTCACCTGGAATCCTGTTTTCGCTGCCTCTTGAGCCAGTTTGTTGGTTTCCACTTGCAAGTCTTCGAGTTTGTGTGACATTAGAAATAAATCATCTATACGCGAAATTCAGATATTCTAGAGTCCTTTTATCGGTCGTCCAGCGTGTTCCTGACTCCTCGGCCCCAACAAGCTGACGCATAATCTAGTCCACCACAATTAAGAATATCATCCGTGATAGTAGGCAGTTCTCAGGCATTCGTACGAGCCCTTTGTTTTTCCCTTTTTTTAAACTTCTGGATTCCTATCGGCTGTTATTACTTTTAATGCATCACTGAATTACTCCATTTTAAAGGTCATTATAACTGTATATTTACAGAGTTTCTGTCTAGAATTTTGACTGTTGTCTCGGACAGTAAAAGCTCTCTTAATGACGTCCAAACCTAGCCTAGTTAACCAGCTCTCTAGTTTTCTAGCTGGTTTCAAGCCCGGGTAAAGAGGGAGGGTTGAGCGTGGGGCTAGCAACCCAAAACTGCTGATTCTTTCAAACCTGTAGAGAAACTTCAAAACAGAAAATATATTAAAACTTCAGCTTAAGAGGACGGCAGAAAACAGAACAAAGTGGAGATGTGTTGTTGAAGTCATATGTTCCACTTGGAGCGCGATGGAATAATAATAAATTTCTGGATGGTTATTATTCATAATACTTTTTAAAAGCAGCAGTTCTGCCAAGTTAAGCTTTGAGCCCCAGTAATTACCAGTGGAGTGTGACCACACCAATGATCTTGAAACGCTCGTTGAGCAAGTTATTGAAACCTGACAAATAATTTTTTGAGTATAGCCAACCCCGACCAACAACAACAACATCCAGTGCCAATCACCATCAACGCGCGTGGGAGGGATTTGAAACAGATTACTTCATTCACTCACTTATCTAGCATTGAGCATTAGCTCAACTACAGGCAGTCGGAACCGACGAGGATGTCAAATCGAGCGAGAATCGGGAAGGTGAGCGAGAAACACATTCATCAACCTGAAACAACCCAATCTGGAAATCTTCGTCACTCAGCCAGCATCAACAACAAAATTCGGTCGGATTTTCAATACAAACAACGTCAAGTCAGTCAGTTCTTCTATACGGATCTGATGAGAAACTTGGCGGGCGGGCGGGTCACAAAGAATATTTCCAACAACAGCCTTTTGCAGACCAGACCTTTATCAACAACAACTGTCTTCGCTGGATCTATACTGAATATCAGATGATCGGGCCGGAAAGAATCGTCAACAAGAAACTATGGGAAGAAACAAACAAAACAAGCAGAAACCAATCGCCAACCAACAAATATGCAGGAGAAAGGGGATAGAGATGGATTGGACACTCACTCGCTGAGGAGGCCGCTGGGTGACATCGCGTGCCCATCAGGCCATTGCTCGAGTGTAACCCGACAGAATGGGAAGCGGCGAGTGGGACTTCAGCGCAAGGGTGATATGGGGGAGATCGTATAAAGAGGAGTTGAAAGATTATGGACTAACATGGATGCAGGTGAAAAGTACAGCAGCAGCAGAAGACGGAAGTGGCAAGTGGAGACGTGCAGTTGAAGCCGTATGTTCCACTAGGAACCCAAGGGAACAACAATAATGTTAGTAGCTTAACCCTAAACCGTATTGTTTGTACAAGTATGGAAGTTTCAGCGTGTGATACCGGTAGCACAAATTTTGCAGGCCGACCATTGATATCAGGTGTGTGTCGGTCGGCATTGGGTCGAACCACGGACCATTTGCATAGTCGGCAAGAGTTCTAACCGTGATCGTGAATATAATATGCTTAATGAAGTGTTATGTTATTTAGATAGGATATTTGGCAATTTTCAGGTTACGTTTGGAGAAGATTAAGGTAAGGTTTAGTTTAAGCACAGGCAACATTAAGGTTGGTTCGAGTTAAATTAGGGTTAATTTAATGTTAGGTCAAGAAAAGATTATGGTTATTGTCGAGGTTAGAAGTCTGAGATAATTGGATGCATAGAATGTGATTAGATTACCCTTATCCAAAACTGAGAAGCAATTTTGGCACATACTGCAGATAAAGGTATCTTGTGTAACAGTTTCATGCCTAACAGTTTTTATTGTTTTCGTGATTATGCGTATTTTATAAACAAGCATCTCCTTTATCATGAGGTTGATGCACTTAAGGTCATTTGTCTGTTGGTACTTACTTGTGTTTAAAGTTTAACCTTGCCAGCAATTCTTGTCTAATTAGGAATTATCATACCACTGTTATCACATTTTTGTAATCATAACTCTACACCAATAAATAAATAATTCACCACAGAAAGTATAAACAATATTTTGGTATTTTTATTGGGGCTTTTTGGAGTGGTAATCTCCTATCGTAATATTTTTAATCGATTCTAGCTGAAAATTCTTACCTATAAATTCAAAGAATTGGCTTAATGGTCTACGTGCTCGCATTGTAACCAGAAGGTCCTGGGTTGGAACCCCGGTGGGTGCGTACCGGGAAGAGTCCCAAACTAGGACGAAACGGCCGTTCCCAATAGTTCTCTAACCAATATCAGCTCACGATGAAATCCTGCAATCAAAAAATTGAATTTGTAATTCGCAGATTATAAACTGTCGATTTTTAGGAGCATAATATGCAATCTGTTTGGTGCTATAAATGACAATCAAGAAAGCAAGTGGTGTTATATCCTACTGATTGATCGTTATGAGTAGTTGAATTACCCCCTCCCCCCCTCCCGCCGACATTAACCAGTAATGCCTGCTTGACAGAAAGATTAAAGTGATCTTAGCAAAAGACTGACCACTGCACCTGTTTGTGATTGAGCTCGTCAGCATTATATCTGATTCAACTCAACTCAGAGAGAAGACTCATTTCTGGCTAGCTATCTGTGTGATTCGGCTCTTTAAATACAGTACAGTCAGGTTGATCGTTGATGGGATCGGTCCGAAATTAGCGATATATCCGTCCGATGTTTAGAACACTATCTGTCTGGCAAGTCCTATTGGTCAAACTGAATAGTATATAACTACTCGTCTCAATCAATAAGTAGTATACACATTTATGTAGGAAAATTTGTTTGTTGACTATTTCACGTTGGTTTCCTGTAGACTGGTCACTAGAATGAATTAACAGGTAGCTTTCATAATAAAGCACCAAAGAAATGAAATTGTGAGTTCATCTCGTATTCAGATGTGTACTTGGCTAAATGATGGCATTCCACTGAAATACCGTCCAGACGAAAAGATGAAGTGGCTAATAAGGTCACTATTAGGTCTTCTAACATGTTACAACTTACCATTAAGAGATTTTATTTGTATAAAAGATATGTAACGACAGAGGAAAAGTGCAAGGCAACAGATCGTCTACTGAGAAAATCAAGAGATATTTGTAGATTTTTATGTACATTATTATTAGCGCTGTTGTTAGCAGAGGAGCAGGGTCTTCTGATTTGTTGTTTTCCTGCTGAAGGTTATTCTGTCATCTTTTTGTTGTCGTTCCTTAGACAGTCCGCTGATATATCTGCTAATATTATCCGCCCACGTTAAGTCTGCTGTGATTGGTTGTTGAGTTCCTCAAGGTTAGGCTTTGTCTTTGTTTTTTTCTCATGACCCCGATTTGGGACGTAAACACTGACGCGAATTGCAGTCTACCAATTTTGGCTACCAGACAGCTTTCACCACAAACACATCAATGACACATTCATTACAAGTGGCAATAATTGACAATATTTTCACATATGGGTCAGATACTTGAAAATGTTCAAAGAAATACTTTGATCCTCAAAGCTCACGATAAGTTTTCAAATCATAAGTTATGCCTGTAGAATATACCATTATTCATGTAACACATGAGTCATTAGATGAATTTATTTTAATTTCGTTCTTTGTTTCGAAATAAGCGCTACATTTTGATAATTTTATTTTTTCTAACTACTCAGGTGAATTAATCAGTCGAGCATGTGTACCAGGAATACTGAATAAAGCTTATGATTTGATTGGGACAAATTCTTTAAATCTATGTGAACTGTGTACAGGTGGAAATGCTGATCGATGTCGTCGTGATAATTTGGAATTATATTATGGAGATGCTGGAGCATTTCGATGTTTAACAGAAGGTGGAGATATTGCATTTGCACGTCACACCACAGTTCATACCAATACAGGTGGAAGGTTAGTACTGATATATGTCATTATGTTGTAATTCAATAGAGCTACTGGCCGAGTTGTCATTTTATTTATTTTATTATTATTATTTTTACTATCGTCGACTGTCTGGTAGTGGAAACATAATGGTAAAATATTCACAGTTCTACTAAAACACACTTATCATTATTATTCCCTTGGGTTCCGAGTCGGATATACACCTACGACAGTATATCTCCACTTTACTCGCCTCTCTACAGTCGTTTTTGGATGATTAGACGATTGATCGTGGGTTTCGATTTCTCCCTCACACGATCTCCTCCAGATCACCCTCGGAGAAATGTCCGACTTGTCTCTTCCCATTGGGGTTTCATTCGAAGGCCTAGTGCATGATGTAATTCAACAGTCTTTCCAGCGTTTACCCAATACATTTCTATTTTCTTCTGCATATTTGTTCGACCTGGGAAGTATCGTTTCAACTACGGAACTGACGAAGATATTGAAGCGAGGATCGAGAAAGCAAAGCAAGCTTTCATTACTCCGAAGTCTGTTTGGAGATCAACAGCACTCAGCATGAAAAATAAGATCAGGATTTTCAACTCCAATGTGAAGTCAGTGCTACTACACTGATGGGTGACTTGGCGCGTCATGACGGACACTTCGAACAAAATACTGCTATCTTTGCTGAAGATCTGATGGCCAGAAAAGATCAGCAACAGGGATCTCTGGCAATGAGCTAACCAACCACGCAGGAACCAATTATGCAACAAATATGCAGGAACAAATAGAGGTAGACTGGCCATACTCTGAGAAAACAAACCGTCAAGTGACATCACACATCAGGCTCTCTCTCGAGTGGAACCGGAATGGGAAGCGGCGGGTTGGTCGCCAGTGCGAGGGTAAAATGGAAGAGGTCATGTGAAGAGGAAATAAAAACTTGAGGGCAAACATTAGAACCAGGTGAAAACGTTGGTAGCTAACCGAAAGCAATGGAGACGAGCAGCTGAAGGCTTATTTTCCTCTAGGAACTAAAATAAACAATAATATAATAATGATAATTTGTTCGACAGCAGACTGTTGGCTGGTTCACCGTACTGAAAGGATTCTTGTACTTTCTAACCGGTCATCTGATCTTTAGGATTTATTGCACGAAGACAATTATTGATGGAAGTCTGCATCAGCATGCTGGAAACTATTTCGGTGACATGTTTACCAAGTCTCTAGACCATACAAATGCGCTTACTTTAACCGAAATCACTGTTGAATATCTGAATCTTGTTCCTCATGCTAAGTGAAACAGATTTCCCGACTAATTTCAGAGTAGTAAATGCCTGTCTAGCTTTTCCGATACAACTTGCCTTTGATATCCCCACCTATGCTGACTCCTTATAGTTGAAACGAAACTGCCTAACCATAGTGTCTAGTGTTTGCTGATGTCGCTAGTTAGGCATCTTTGTTTGTTCTGTCTTTTCTATCTTGACCTGAAGTTCTGTCTTTGCTGCCTATCTCTATTGCCAACTTTTTGGTTTTCACCTACTTGTATGACATTAGAAATAAATCACCAGTGGAGTCTTGATCTTCCAGAGTCTTCTTATTGGTCCAGTGTATTCCTGTCTTCTTTGCCTCACTCCCTTGGTCCGTCACATGATACGAAATACGCGTATACGTTCCGTCATAGAGTAAATTTATTTGATAAAGTCTCACAAAAGACAAGTAAAATTATACTATAACGAAAAACATGGAAGAGGTTAAATCCAAAGTTTATGTAAGCAAATAAAAGTGAGGGAGCGAGTTAGTGAAAGTAAAGATATCGAGTTACCAAGGCAAGAAAAGACTTATAACTGCTTGTTTCTAAACATATAAATTGGGTCTCAAAAAATTTGGTAGCATTTGCTTCAACAAAATTGAGGTAATGTGAACTATATAATCTATGGATAATTTTTAGAGGATTCTATGGTGTCCACCTCATGACTAATATCAACGAGATGCCTGACAATCGAATTATTGAAATTGTTTTCCTCCCTTGAGATGTAGGCTTTTTGAAAATCGAATATTTCTCCTTCCTTCTATTCTCCCAATATAAGTGCTGACAAAATAAACGATGGTAATACCTTATTCTGCACAAACAACTTTTGAATTTAGCTTTATTCAAACTGATAAAAGGGAGAATGAGTGTATGAACTATCTGAGTGAGTTTGCCTTCTTTAATGATGTTGCTCATGCCAACTAACATGCCCCTAAAAAGTCTTACAATGTAGAGTATTTCCAGGTCTTAGTTGGTAAGGATTTGGTTAGATTCAAGTGTGATCACAGATTGATACCAGTTAGAGAACAATTGAAAGCCAGAGAGTACTAGACAGTTGTATAATAACGATTTTGAACTCTTCGGCAGTATGTACCCGTTATCCCACAAGTGATTGAACCTAGAACATTCAGGTTATAAGAAGAGCTCGTTGGCTATTCAGCCACTGGGAAAGATTTCTTTTTTTCCCATCAAATCTAACTAACCTCTATTCATTCGTATTATAAAGCGTGACCGCCAGCTAGTGCCATCGATGAGTGTTTATTCTCACGTAGAACTTAATGGGACAATTCCACTGGTCAGGACTTTTTACTAGAAATTCAGGTACCTTCATTTTCTAGGCAGTCATTAGTGGACATCAGATTAATTTTCAATTGTTATTTTCCTTTACGAAGAAAACATTTATTTTGACAATGTCTCAGAGTGTTTGTTGTACGGTAATATTTACTGATGACCACATTTTGAGAAAAATGTATTTCTGCTCATAATCATGTCAGGACATTCAGACAACTTTGTAATTTTGTTTATATACATGAGTAACAAACTGATAAGACATAGAGGAATGAATAAACAGAAGTCAGTACACTTTTCAACAGGCATTCGTGAAACAGATAACAGGCAGATAAAGTGCATGGGGAAATAATGTGAGTGTTATCAAAAAACATACAATATGATGGGAAATAAGACTAACGTTGTTAGGAGCATATAATTACATGGGAAATAAGTTTTGTCCAAATAGCTGTAAATGAGCACTGTTCAAAACTCTGTTCTATAGAGTCAGGAGAATACGTTCTACAGAAAGATTAGAGGAAAAGATTCTAATTTTAGAAAATATGTTGAAAAACAACAGTCACCCTCATAGATTCATTAACAAGTACGGAATATCTGAAGGCTCAGATGCCCCACAAATCACAGTAGTGAAAAAGCCCGTCTTTATTCAACTTGATTGTAAAGGTGACAACATTTCAGGAGTAGTCAACGGAATACGTCACTAGCCACAACTTATCCTGCAGCTAAGTTGGTTTTCGTCTACCGGACAACATGCTCTTCACCCTCCTCATGTTAACTTCAACTGTAAATACAAATTTAAATGTATATGTGGGAGCAGTTACACTGGGAGTACAGAAAGAAGAGGGCAAATCTCCAATTTTCTGAGCATGTATCGAAAAGCCTATGTTTTTGATATGTATCCACAAGATTTGTGTTTTGTTTTGACAGTCTATTATATTTTGCTATGTGTATATGGATCGATATTCCATTATAGCTGACAATATACTTTTGTCTGTCCACTAACTAAATAAACATGTATGACCTTGTTGTCACATGACATTACAACCAATCATGTTAAGACTGGGTATTTATTGGTTCATGTGTATTAGTCATTTTCATATATACTTTTGTACTGTACACTTTTATACATTCTGGTTTACACACTTTTTCGTACATCTAAGCCCCCTTCCACTCACACACTTGTGTGACATTTATTTTCATTGTCTGGAAAATACAAGTATCATCGTAAACCTGGTGGTCTTCTGATCTCCCTCTTTCCGCATCAGGACTATTAAATACTCGACGAGTACATAACATAACTGGCGACGGGGAAAACTCTAATAACTCACTCAGCAGCAGTACATAACAGTTTCATCGCCAGACATCTCATGAATATGGGTAATGAGGAGGACACGGCAACATCCTGTAAAATTATCAATAGACAGAATAGTTGAGTCTCCTCAAGTCTACCGAAGTAATCGCTATCAAACATCTGAAACCCGATTTATATGTCCAGAAAGAAGTAGTTATCAGTCTTTCCTTGCCTTGATAACTGGATGTCTTTTTTCTCTATTTTATTTGACTACGTAATCTTTGGCTTAAACATCTTGTCTTTATGATGTAACTCCCTTATCATTGTACGCATACAATGAGTTTTCGTTTAAACTTGAACTCTCTGTGAACTGATAGCATATGAAAATTTGAAAGTATGTTAAAATTGTTTATTTACATGAACCTAATAAGTCCACTAGACTGTAAGCAGATGATGAGAAGGGACCGAAATAAACAATGATGAAAGCATCTCATTCTGCACAGATCACTGTTGTTCTTGCTTTATTCAAATTCATAAAGGGAAATAAATGTGATGGCGTAAATTTAAATAAAGGCAAAATTGAACATTACTTCTTATCCTGTGAATTGATTGGGGCTAATGTCTTCCACATCTCTCGCATTGATGCTGAGTCATTTCTATTGCATATGTTGGGTGTATATGTTCGATGAACAAGGACTCAGTAGTCAACCTCTCAATCAAATCAAAGGATAAAAGATGATATTCAACGTCGTCTTTAATGTTTTATTTCATACTACATTATCACATTTCTGATATAAATCTCAGAATCTTCAGCTGATAACGAGGTAAGTACGTTGTGCAAATCCTTCAAGGACGCACTACACACCTAAGTGTTATTCTCCCGAATATGTTAACTAACAATTGAGAAAAACGTTAGTAATAATAATAAGCTTTATTCCCAAACAGTATTTGCGAATACAGAATGGAATTCTCACAAGTTTACTACAGTATTGTTGCATCTAGTTAGTACATTATCAATAAAGAAAATTCTACATCGATTAAGGGTAATCTCAGTTCATTATGACAACAACTTATTAGCATGTCGGTAGCAAAGCCAAAATTAAACAGAGTGTTAGAACGTGTTTAGAAAAGTAGATACTAGCA